GCGTACCCGAATGTATACCTCAAACCTTCTCTCTCTCTCTCGAATCTGTGCTTACTTATACATAAAGTTCATCTGGCCTGCGGTACAACAATGTGTTTTTGAGTACTGCTTGTGGTTTTTCTTTGTCACTTGGCTTGTTCGCCACCTAAAACCGAAGGCAAGACGTTTGGCGAAAACATCAAAGTGTTGACCGCTTATACAGTCATAACGAAGTCTAAGAGAGAATCAATTGTACCGACTACTTATATGTCATTCTTCTTTTGTAGCTTATTGTTTGCGTGTTTCAGAGAAAAGGTGTAGCCCCTAGTGTCACAGGAGGATCCAGTCGTATGTAGTCAATTTAGTTCAAGAAGTCGCGAAGATAGGACGATGACTGGCCACACGAACGAGCGCCCCCAAGGACACACCTCGAGAAGACACGTATATCGGAGAGAGTTACACATACCAACAGCACTAAGTGTTAAAGTGGCAACTGCCTCACTAAGGCTTACACATTTCTGCATAAGACATGAACGCATACACATTCCCAATTTATCTACAGAATACTAAACCATTCCTCAGAGCTGTTATGTAGGAGTTGGCCACAAGTATGATGAAGCCACGATATATGTGTCTGGTAGATGTGCTAGCAGACACAAGTGATATCTACGTACTCAGCGCGCGACCTGGGCGGTAAGCTTACTCAACGCCTTAAATTCTGTAAGGCACTACTTTAGTGCTGTCAAGACGCTGTAAATCCGTTACATATTGTTTCCACGCGACGGGGATGACTGGTAGCCCGTTATGGCTTGCGAAAGCGCAATGTGGCCAGCTGACACTTTACATGTTCTGTGTGCTGCACCCGCACTGGAAAACAGATGCTTCTCGTGTTGTGTCGGCCTGAAGGCTGAAGGCTGGAGAGGAAGACGGAACATTGGAAAGTGAGATGCATCAACGTCATCGTTGTGCTAAAGTGTGGCCCTATGAACCTTTACTCTCCTGAGCTGTCTAGCTACACCTACACTAACAACTAGATCGCAACACAAGAGCTGGTACGATCAGCGGTCGAAGTTGAAAATACGGCCTCTGGATGATCCGGATAAGGTCCAGCGGTAGGTGGGACACGTTCAGCACGTGGATGTCTGGGTCATCAAATCTGGAAGTCCGGGTCACAAATCTGGAAGTCCGGGTCATCACGGCCTTCGGTAGACACGCCACGCTTCGGGACGGGCGCACTAGCGTCAGCACGGGCACAAGCAACGAGACAGACACTGACGTCGAAAAGGGTTGAGATAGGTACACGTATACCGAGAGCGGGTCCATGTCACCGAGTGCGTCATTACACCTCAAACGTCATGACTTGCGCCCTGCATAAGTAACGGCCACAAAAGCCATTACCACCAGCAGGTTCGTTGCAAGACAGTCAGGCGACCGAAGACGTCGGTCTCATTAGTACATTGCAATAGGTGTTGAACATCTTTGCGTTAGCATACGATCTTGCGTAAGCCCTACCTTACGTACCGTAGGCATTCTGTACCAAACGGTCTTCTCCGATGAGAAGGCGTACCGACGTTGCTACAGCCCTCGGATTCGATGTGGCGAAAGCTGTTTCCACGTGTGAATTCTCATCGCCAAGTGCGTTGAAGGTCGAGCTTAAGGTACGGCAATATCTACGGCTTTGCGTGACCACGTGCTCTCAGCTCACATAGAGCGCACGTACGCGCAGCTCAGAAGACACATTACGCGTAAGGTCATCAAATAGACCCAAAGGAGTGAGTGAGCACTGCGCTGCGAATATTACGCGACGGCGTATACGTTCCGTTCAATTGCATCGGCAGAAGCAGTACAAAAGCAGAGCGGCTTCACGAGTGTCGACTGCACCGTCAAAGGTCGTGCAGGTGCTTCCGATCGCGCTCGACGTGTCCACCAGACGCCCGTTTGTGCACACGAGAAACGTACCGAATCTGTTGCGTGCGTCCGATATTTCGTGCCGACTCTTGAGTTCGACCTCGAGTCGGGTGGCCACAAACGCGTCGCTTCAGTTCGGACGTCGCCGCGATGGCCACTGCCCTCACGAGGGCCGAGACAGCGGACTTTGCCGCCGCTCGAGCGCCGCCACAAGCGCCGCAAGTGCTGGACAAGGCACCAACGACACCGCTATGTGCGGGTAATGATATCAAGCGCCGGTTGACGTGTACGCGTCCGAGTCGCCTGCACAATGTTATCGTAGAGACTGCGCTGGAAGACGCAGCGTCGACGCGCGTGGGCACATGTCTCGACAACAGCTCCAGTACGCTCGAGAGCAGGGACGTGAAGTCTGCAGTGGGTCCAATGGACTTTGACTTGCTGTGTGTCATTGGCCAAGGAGCTTTCGGCAAAGTCATTCAAGTGCGCCATGTCCCGACGGATGAGGTCTTGGCCATGAAAGTGGGTACACTGCGGCAATAAAAAGCGGCAACGTGTGTTTTGCTGTTTCTTCGCGTGTCGAGGGAAAAAAGTGGTCGTTACTACTGTCGTGGGGTCTTGCACTTTGTTGGTTTATCGTTCTGTATTGCTAACGACTGTGTATCTGTTGTTGTTGTTGTTGTTGTTGTTGTAGATTGTGTCGAACAAGTACATTGTACAGCACAACTCGGTGTCGTACTTGCAGGCTGAGCGAGACATTATGACCAAGATCAATCACCCGTTCCTCATTAGTCTGCGGTACGCGTTCCAGACCAAGTCGAACGTGTACTTGGTCATGCCTTTTGTAGCGGGTGGAGAGCTGTTTCACCACTTGCATAAGCAGGGCTTACTGCTGGAGAGTTCGGCCAAGTTCTACGCTGCAGAGATGGTGCTGGCACTCGAGCATTTGCACGTAAAGGGCATCATTCATCGGTAGGGACTGCGCTGCTATTATCGTCGAGCTCAGGGATACTTGTGGTGAATTGACCATGCGGCATCGATGCTCCTGATGCTGTCACAGCGACTTAAAGCCCGAGAATGTGCTGCTTGGTGCGGACGGACACATTCGACTGACCGACTTTGGTCTTGCCAAGGAGATGACTGATGTGCGTTGGGTGAAAAAAGAAGGATCGGATTGCTACGATGGGTTGCTGATTGACGCGTGCGGTGTTGTAGGAGGACGGCTCGACTAGCACCATGTGTGGCACGAACGGTGAGATACCTACCATTGTCATTCACCGAGATTTTGTTGTCTTGTTGCCCCGATGTGAAATAGAGCACTAATGCACGTTGGTCTGTGTCACTCGATCAGAGTACATGCCACCGGAGATGATCCGTCGCAAAGCGTACAATCAGGCGGTAGATTGGTGGGCGCTTGGTGCGCTCATCTACGAGATGGTAACGGGCTACCCGCCTTTCAGACACAAGAACCGCAAGAAACTACATCAAAAGATCTTGAATGAGAAGGTAGGACGGACGATTGCCCGTCGTCGCTGCCGGCTACTCATCCTGCTGTGGGACACTAACACGTCAATGTCGTATTTCTGTAGCTTTCTCTACCCAAGTGGCTTGGCTCTGAGACTCACTCTATCCTGAAGCAGCTGTTGGAGAGAAATGTCGACAAGCGTCTTGGTTCCGGCAAGTCTACGATGTTCCAGGTGAAGGGTGTGCAGGCCATCAAGAAGCACGTCTTCTTCAAGGACATCGACTGGGGCTTGCTTGAGCAAAAAAAGGTGCAGCCGCCGATTCTGCCAAATGTCGTGAACAGCATGGACACAACGTACTTCTCGGAGGAGTTTACGACGCAGGATGTTGGGCGGCGTAGCCGCGTCAGCAGCTCTTGTGCGGATGGCGACACGAAAAAGCTCTTCGCACGCTTCTCTTGGGTCGCTGACGATGCCCCGAGCTTTGCGGATATCGTTCGCGCAGGCAGTGCGGAAAATGATACGATTGCAGTAGTTCATGATGGAGTTGAGAAGTTGACGCTTGCTGAGGACGTGACAACTGCTTGAAGGAGGAGTCAACTGGACGGGTAGGTAGGTAGCTCATGTATTTTTTTTACTATCGGCAATTGCAGTAAAAACTTTGTGCTGGTCACTGCAACACAACGATAGTTGGGTCTCCACGCATTAGGGCCGACTGACTTTGTTTGCAGCGGATCTGAATGTGTTGCAAGTGACATTTCGTTGCCACACCAATATTGCTATGTGCTCCACGGCCCTGTCAGCAAAAGATCTACCGCTCCGAATACTGCTTGAGTTGCTTTGAAGAAGATCTGTATACGACTCATGTTTCTCAGAGCAAACAAAGGCAAAAGCGTCAAGGTCTGTAGTAAACAAATCGAAAATGCATCACTTTCCACGATATTTAACGCCCTCGACATCACGTCCACATTCCATGGCGCAACAAACACAGACGATCAGAATTTTGTCGACTACGTGGAGGCGATTGTACACACGCTGGGTGTTACAAAATGCCCCACGCAGTCGGAGCCCTACAATTGACTCGATTGTGTTGCTTCTTCTAGACGAGATAAAAGGCGATCGATCGCTGCAGAGCTGATAGATCTACCGCTTCTATGAGCTGCGTGTTCTGCACGTGTAGACTCTCAGCGTCACAAACGCTATAAAAGCTCGTACAAAGGACGGCGCGATATATCTTGACTCGAAGTGCAATACAGAATACACGAAAGCATTACATGTTTCGTCAATGATGACGGCTTCACATGAGTGCGAGCACAATCGCTACACTACGAAACCCACTTAGGATGTCCATACGCTGTATTTGACTGACACATATACCACAAATACTTCAACAATCGCTTTAGTCGTCAATCACTGGTCGTCACATGAGTCTGAATGTCCTTGTGTACTCTTCTTGACGCATCCATTTGCCAGCAACGTGTACGATCATTGTCGTGAAGCGTCGTGGTCTTACGCTTACAATAACTAGCGTTCGATAGGCAGGAGTTCCAATGAAGAAATCGTGGCTCTCGTGGAGAAGACCTCCTGCTTGTTCTTCTGCCTCTAAAGTCCACCACGACCTGCAAAAGTGTCCTTTCGGGCTCAGCATCCGCTTTTACTAGAAACGCTGGCAATACAGCTCAACTACGCGTCTTCTTTTGGTTTTGCTGGACTTTTCGGTCAGCTTTGGCGATATTTTGCTTCTATCGCAAGTGCCTAATGCTGCTACCAAAGGTGCGGCTTCTCCTCTTCGCTGCTGTGCCTTCCATGCTTTTCTCTCTATGTTTAGTCGAAGCGGCCATGTATACTCGACAAGTGGGAGATTCACTTGCCGCCACTCAAGTTTGACACGCATAACAAGTGATAGCATCCGTTTGTTTCGCCTCCTGCTGTTACTCGAGTGGATATCAACGCCTTTGGCATGAACCCTGGCGTTTATCGAGATTGCTGCAAATGTGTAGGCATGAAAGCGTCGTGGGGCACTTAATGACCATAAGGCTTACTGAATGGGAAGTACAAGAGGACAGACTTGGAGCTCCAGACAAGGTGCTTGCTTTGTTCATTACCAATCGCTACAGTTTCATACCCTTGCAATCGATCACCGACCAGACCGATGCACCAGACTACGGGTAAAAGCACCTATAACATCGCAGAGAAGGAGCGAGCCACGATGTACAATGGATGAACAGGTGAATGGGTTGTTTCGATGATTGATGTCACGATCCTGAAGCTTTACCGGGACGCATTTTGGTGGCTCCAACGTACGTCCAATTGACGCTGCATGCATACAGCTCATCGTCTTGCTGTAACAGTGGTAAGAAGAAGCTACACCTTCTTCTTCCTCCTCTAGGTCTTCTTATAAGCAAGGTACGACGTCTCGACGTAGCCTGTGTAGAGCGAATAGCTACGCCAATGCACTCATCAGATCAGATGTGGTGCATCCAGCAATCCTCTTGAACGTGGCCTGATCCGGCGCTTCATGCGAGCACAAGCGACGGCTGCATAAACAACAAACAGCCGAGGGTATAGGAGCATTCCTCGTAAGTTTGAATCCGACTAATCCATTTCGATGATCACCTGTTGTTGCCTATAGGCATCGACCGTCCCAAGTTTCCGCGGTCAAGCTCGAGCCAAACGAGCTTCAGCCCCTCATCACGCGCAACCCTCTTCGATGGGGATCCTTCTTCGCAGAAGCCAAAGTTGGTAGAGTATGTCTTGGCATGCTGTTCGTGCGACCTCAGGCCGCGTGGGTACTTGACACGGGGAGGGTTTACGTCTATCTGCGTCCCCGCGCCACGCGTCACTGCTCCAGCATGTGCACGCGTCAGTTCACGGGATCGTGCAAGCGGCCATTAGTAAAGTTGTCGACAGGTATAGCAAAGGCACGCGTGTGGCACTAGGCTATAGCAGCATGGTCAGGCAATCCCAAGAGCGTCGCCGCAGGTGATTAGCCCCGTACTCAACCACCAACTTCTGTTGGGCACCGGCGTTGCCATTCAGGCTGAGGAACTGTCCGACGTCTTGCAACTGTAATGGTGTAGTAGACAGGTCTGCCTCTTTCTCTACACGCATCGACGTTTGACGCGTCTCTCGTCGTACAAAGACGCCTACTGTGGATCAAAAGATTAATGCGGGAAGCCCGATCAATTGCCGAGGCTCTTTTCGACCTACTCGTTGCTCTCTCGTGCATACCCCCCCCTCCTTGTTCACCAACGCTGGTTTGCCCAAACTACGATGCTCTAGTCAACCGTTCGTGCCGATCTCGATTCCTTCTGGATTACGGTGGTACTCTTCCAGCGCGAGATGACGGCCAGCGAATCGACAGGAACAACCACGCAGCAAGTTGCGAATTCTTTCGAGCATACGTACTACACGGATCTAACGTCCTTCCGCATATAAACCTACATGATGGGTTCAGTAGCACACGCGCAAGCTATCGTGCGTCTGTTGATTGAATCCTTACGGTATCAGCCACGAGATCAACCCGTGCGATGCGAAACATCTGCAAGCACCTCACGCCTCCACTTTCCTCTCACTGCACCGCGTCGTAGAAAGTGATGATACTTCAGCCAGTTACATTTCAATAGTTGGCGTCGTAGGAGGTTGTACAACAACAAGTATTGCGCTTCTCGAAGAATCCAAGTGGTCGTGCTTTTTATTGAGGCATCTGCTGCCGAAGCGCATGGGGTTTCTCCCGGATTGTGATCCCATGCCAGACACAACGCCACACCTGCGTTCGATGCCATTCTTTTGTCCAAGACGGTGGCACTCGAGGATACAGCTGTTCTTGTGAACGCAGACAAGTTCTCCCTTCGCGCCCTTGTTGCCAAAAGGGAATGGGAAGAGAGAGCCCCTCGACACTCGTCAGATGCGTGTGACCAGGCAGGATTAGCAATCAGTCGTCCCGACTGACTTTTTGTCCCTCTTCTAACCCGCGTCGACGGTGTCGCACCCGGTACCGTACCCACATGACAAAGTGTGGCTGCCTTGTCATAACCCACATACTCTCTCTCAATGGTCGATAGTGGCTGGACGGAACAGCGGTCAGAGCTATACATAATCGGCCGAACGAGTCGGTCTCACAACCCCTTTTGACCGGCACAGAGCATGTCGGGGTCCGGTCGAAAGGACCTGCCGTCGGATCCGGCACCGCTCGTCGAGCGCCGGACCACGTGGCTCTTCGTCCGCACACTGCTATGGAAGAACGGGATACTCAAGCGCCGCCACCCCGTGGCCACGTTCATGGAGATCGCGCTGCCCTGTTTGTTCATCTTGCTCATGGGCGTCCTCAAGACCCTCGTGGAAGACGTCGACGTGCCCGAAGGGTGGAGCGACGACAACAGTGTTGCAGGCGACAGCTCCCAAGGCACGTCGTACAACCTCTACGAGCCATCGGGCACGTTTTTGTCCGGCATTCCAGCGGTGTTGCCCAAGTTTACGATGCACGAGACGTCGATTTGGGGCATCCTCTTGTACATGGGCACACTCTCGATCCGAGGGGGTGCGAGGTTGGGCGAGTTGTCCGAACGGGAGCTGGGGGAGTGTATCACGGGTGTCACTGTTCGAGGATTGGTCGATGTCGACCCGTTGTCGGCGTCTGCCGTTCCCAGTTCTTGCCGCGGGAAAGTCGCGCCGTACAAGATTGCAATTGTGCCGGACAATGCGTTCACGAGAGATTACTTCATGCAGACAATGTCGTTGTGGTATCCGCGCATCGATCTTTGGAACGCGTCGACGTCGGTGGTGTTCCCGTCATTGATGGAGAGTGTCCAGTTTTTCGACACGGAGGAAGCGCTGGAAGATTACGTGAGTGGCAGTGATTACGCTTCTGGTCCGGAGAATCCTCGTATCTACGGTGGAATTGTGTTCGACTCGATCCCGAGTGGGGACAACATTGGGTCATTCGAGGACATTGAGTACACGGTGAGACTGAACTCGACTCGCCAACGGGGTGATATTGGCTACATCCCCAAGACAAGTGGAGATCCACCGCAGATGGAACCGTTTCAACGATCGATTAGTGTGCAGTACTACGCGAGATACGCGGTCACGGGTTTCATGACGCTCCAAACGTTGGTGACGCGATTCGTGACGTGCATGCCAGAGTGGGATGCCAGTACCAAAACTACGACTGGAATCTGCCAGCGTCCACAGTCGACGGCAAGATCGTCGCAGGAAACCGACCAAGCTCTGCTGTTGTCCTTGGACAACGATGCTATCATTTATTCAGTTGTCCAGGATATTGCTGGGTCGGATGTGACGTTTTCGGGTTTGAGGGACATTGTCTCGAATGAGACGCTGGAAGCGCTGCTACGACCACTGCGACAAGCACCACAGCCGTATCTTGGAGCTTCGGTCGCGCCGTTTCCGATCCGAGCGTACACCAGCTCTCCCTTTTACGATCAAGTGTCGGACGTGTTTGCAATCGTGTTCGTCTTATCGTACCTGTTTTCGATTTCGCGCATTCTTGTGATCCTCATTCAAGAGAAAGAGCTGCGATTGCGCGAGTACATGAAAATACTTGGTGTGAAGGAGAGAGCTATCGTCGTATCTTGGTACATGACGTACATCCTTATTCTGCTCGTGGGATCGATTCTTCAGGCGCTCGTTGGTTTGGCGGGACTCTTTTCGAACAGCTCTGTGGTGCTCATCTTCCTCTTCTTTTTCCTGTTTAGTCTAAGCGTGCTGGCATACGGATTCATGATAAGCACGATCTTTAGCAAAGCGCGAGTTGGAGCGTTCGTGGGAATGGTGCTGTTCTTCCTCATGTACTTTGTGTCGGCGGCGTTCACACCGGAAAGTGCTGAAGGCCCGAAGATAGCTGGCTGTATTCTTTCTCCCGTTGCACTCTCATTGGGTGTCACGTTCTTGTCAAATTTGGAGGCCACTGGAACAGGCGCCAACTTTTCGAACGCCAGTGTCCTGAATGAAAACTTCCGCCTGAGCACATCGTTGCTGATGTTTGCTATCGATACAGTCTTGTACACGCTGTTGGGACTTTACTTTGAGAAGGTTGTACCAAAAGAGCACGGAACGACGTTAAAGTGGTATTTCCCGCTGTCTCCTTTGTACTGGAAGAGCAACGAAGAGATTTGCAAGGCATCGGTGACGGAACTTCCCTCTGACGCATTGTTGGACCGCGTTTCAGTGGATATGAACAATAGCATCGAACCGGTGAGCGCGGAATTACGTGAACAAGAGCGGCGGGGCGAAGCTCTGACAGTCGAGCGGTTGCGCAAGGTTTTTTCTGTTCCTGGTGGTGAAAAGGTGGCAGTGCAACGACTTAGTCTGACCATGTACCGGAACCAGATCACGTGTTTGCTGGGACACAACGGTGCTGGCAAAACGACACTTATATCAATGCTGACGGGCATGATCGCGCCTACAAGTGGCAATGCTTTTTTTCGTGGCATGTCTATCACCGAGGACATGGACAAGATCCGTCGGTCTCTGGGTCTTTGCTTTCAGCATGACGTGCTTTTCAATGAGCTGACTGTGGAGGAACACTTGCGCTTTTTCGGTCGTATCAAGGGCTACACGACAGCTGAACTGGAGTCTGTCATTACGAAGCAGATTCGCGAGGTCGGACTTACTGAGAAACGCCACGCAAATCCGACTGAGCTTTCCGGCGGTATGAAGCGAAAGCTGTCTGTCGCTGTGTCTCTGCTCGGTGACAGCACGCTGGTGTTTTTGGACGAGCCGACGTCGGGAATGGACCCATACAGTCGTCGAAGCACATGGGAGATCCTGCTGAACAACCGCAACGACCGTGTCATGGTGCTAACGACTCATTTTATGGACGAAGCTGACATTCTGGGCGACCGTATTGCGATCATGGCAGAAGGCGAGCTGCGTTGCTGTGGCTCTTCGCTGTTTTTGAAGAACCGCTACGGGGCAGGCTACAACTTGGCCCTTGTGAAGGATGATGCGACGTGCGAGGATAGCGACGTGATTCAGTTTGTGACATCGCGAATACCTGCAGCGCAGCTGCTGAGTAGTGTTGGCAGCGAGATTGCGTTCCAGCTGCCCCTCGCGAGTGCATCGACGTTTGCGTCCATGTTTGCGGATTTGGACGACAATTTGCAGCAGCTCGGTTTAGTATCGTATGGTATCTCGGTGACTACTCTGGAAGAAGTGTTTATAAAGGTGGCCGAAGCAGATGACCAGACTAGCCAACACACGCTTGCGAACCGGGCTCGTTTCGAATCGGTTGCGTCAAGTCCTGCTCCAGAGAGTGGTGCGAATGCTGGTTTCGATCCGACGCAATCTTCTTACTTCATGACTCACCTCCGTGCTCTTATCCTGAAGCGGTTCAGGTATGCAAAGCGTGACAAGAAGATGATCTTCTACAGTTTGGCTCTCCCCGTTTTGCTTCTGCTGGTTGGTCTGGGTCTGCTCCAAGGAGCAAATCTTACCGATAACGACCCGAATCTGCCCTTGACCACGAACGCGTTTGACAACGGGGCCGAGACGCCAACGCCATACTTTTGCCAGCCTGGCGCTACGGAGGACGCGTGGTGTAGCAGTGCCATGGGTAGTGCCTACTTCAATGATGTGTCTACAGAAGCGCTTGCGCTATCGGAACCGTCGTTCGACTCGACCTCTCCCACCGTCTTTGGCGTGACGTACACGGACCCCACAGTGAATACTACTGGTGCCACGGGCTATGGTTTGCGCCTGGGTGAGGAAGTGTACAATCGCGGCACCGGCATCAACACCGACACTGTTCGTGGGCAATATGGCGCCTACCTCGTCCATGGTGACAGCAACCGAAACCTGTTTGGCTACAACATGTTTGTGAACACCACTTCGACACATGGGGCTATCATCTTCAAGGCACTGATGGATCAGGCGATCTACCGATTTTTCGCTTCAAACTCAAGCTCCAGCGCCTCGAACGTCAATTTGATAGTCAACAACCACCCACTACCCTTGACCGCCGATTCGGAAGCTTTGTTCGGATCTTTTCTGGCGTTCACGGCATGCCTGTTTATCTGCATCGCCTTCACGTTTTACCCGGCGTCCATCGTGACCTTCCTCGTGAAGGAGAAGCAGGCAAACCAGAACTCGAAACACCAGCAGTTGGTATCTGGTGTGTCGCTGGGAGCGTTCTGGCTTTCCAACTACATTTGGGACTTCTCGCTCTACTTGATTCCGTGCGCCGCCGCGCTTCTCACGATCACTGGTTTCAGCATCGATTCCATGACTGGTAGCTCAGAGTGCGGCAGCTGCACGTCCGAGACGTTTCCGTCCGTGATCGTCCTCTTCCTTCTGTTTGGACTGGCCGTCTGCCCGTTCACGTACTGTTTGTCGTATCTGTTCAAGGAGCACGCTTCGTCTCAAACGTACACGATAATGATCAACTTCGTTGTTGGCGTGGTGCTCATGGTGATATCGTTTGTACTGGATGTAATTGATTCGACGCAAGACGTCAACGAGGTGCTGGTGTTCTTCTGGCGCTTGTCGCCACTCTTCAACCTGGGCTATGGGCTGCTGAGCTTGGTGCGAAATGAGCTCGACTCCATCCGACAGAGCGATGATGCAAAGACGAGTCCGTTCAGCACTGACATCATGGGCTGGGAGATGATTTTTTTGTTCGTTACAGCTATACTGTACGGCACCCTGGCAGTATTGATCGACTACTCGATGACGTTTCCGAAGGTAAAGGACTGGATGAGTGGCGGTGGCAATGTTCAAGACGAACCTTTTGACGAAGACGTCGATGTTGAAAAGGAGGCTCGGCGTGTGGCCGGCGGACAAGCAGATGGCGATATTGTAAAGCTTGCAGGACTTCGCAAGGTATACCGTGGCGGCAAGGTCGCAGTACGCAACCTCTCTTTTGGCTTGAAGCGTGGCGAGTGCTTTGGCTTTCTCGGTATCAACGGTGCCGGTAAGACGACAACGATGAAGATGCTGACGGGCGATGAACTTCCGACGCGGGGCACGGCAACGCTGGGAGGTTTCGACATCCTCACGCAGCAGATTGAAGTGCGACGTCAAATTGGATACTGTCCACAGTTTGATGCTCTGTTTGAGCTACTTACAGTCCGCGAGCACCTGGAGCTGTTTGCGTCGATCAAGGGTGTCAGTCGCTCGCGTTTGCGCGGAGTCGTGAGCGATAAGATCAAGCAACTGAACTTGGGAGACTTTGAGAACAAGCTAGCCGGCAGCTTGAGTGGCGGAAACAAGCGCAAGCTATCAGTGGCCATCGCCTTGATTGGTGACCCGCAGATTGTGTTTTTAGATGAGCCGTCGACCGGTATGGACCCCGTGTCGCGACGCTTTATGTGGGACGTCATCGCCGACATTTCCACTCGTGGCAAGAACTCCACGATCGTGCTTACGACACATAGCATGGAAGAATCGGAGGCCTTGTGCTCTCGTGTGGGCATTATGGTCGGTGGTCACCTGCGTTGCTTAGGCAGCGTCCAGCACTTGAAGTCTCGTTTCGGAGACGGTCTGGTCTTTGATGTGAAGCTCGCCAATCCCACGCAGCAGGAGTTGGTCGACCTCATGCAGCAGCATTACGACGATGCCGACGAGAATATGACACTCGACAACCTGGACGACAAGTGCAGAGCTTTTGGGAACCAGGAGCTGGCTCAGCGAGTGGTGGCCTCGCACCCGACAGGTTATGGTCTCGCTGCCATACTGGAACGTGACGGATTCGTCAGGGCAGAGACGTTCCTGTCGTGGTGTTTGGAGGAAACCCGTTTCGACGCGCTGTATGACTTTCTCGGCCGCTCGTTTAGCCATGGCAGTGTGGTGGTAATGGAGCGCCAGAACGACTTTTGCCGCTTCAAGCTGCATGGATCAAGGGAAGAACTGCGATTGTCCAAGGTGTTTGCGCTGATCGAAGGCATGAAGGAGACGATGCACATTCGCGAATACAACGTTTCACAGACCTCGCTCGAGCAGATCTTCAACTTCTTTGCTGCCCAGCAAGCTGAGGAGACGGGTGTAGCGCGTGGGTTTCAGGAGGCTTGATCGCGCGTAGATGACACGCTACAGGGGTCAGCAGACTTTGGCTTGATGATAGCGCAGTAGCTAACCAAGTAACAATGGCCACATCAAGTCAACGTCACCATATCAACCGAAGTGTATTGCAATGCTGTTTGGCAACGAACGTCGCTGGATGTCAGCGCAAGAAGAAGCGTTTTGCAGAAGGTCCGGCCGGTGCGCTCGGCTTGGACTTGCGTGAAGGTCACTATACCTCGTCGCTTGCGAGGACAGGTGAACGATGCGCAAGTACAAGTAAGATCCACTTTGAGCAATCCCTGTACCGTGTCGCAAACATGTGTCCGCAGAACGTCTGTGCTCGGGTGAAGATCGCTTTCACAAACACCTCCTGTTTGGCAATGCATCACTCGTGGACTCGGACCGATCGTGTTGCTTTGCAGCATTTATCTGCGATCGTAGCAGTACCTGCTGACAAACAATGGACGCCATATGTGAGAACAACGATGCGACTTTGTGCGGCGGTGGTGGATGCAGTCGTTCTAACTGCGCGCGATACAGTATCGATTGACGAAACTGTGCTTACCCAGCGGAATCACGGATGTTGCTGAGGTCAGTAACGGCATCGACTTCAGCGAGGCCCGACCCATCTTCGACTTCGGGTTGGGTCAGGCTTACATCGACGTCGACAAGAGCAGCGGCGCGACCACTGTGTGTGCAGTCTGCACGGACGCCGATACCGAAGCTCGCCAATACGTCTAGGGGGTATCTGCAACAAAACTGGGAGGATGCCACACGCGCTCGGAAAAGTGCTTGAACCATCAAGAAGAGCTCAAGCGTGCCTGCCTTTCAGTGCTAGCACGACAGCATCTTGGAGTCTGGCGTTCCTCTGGCCCGCGAGGTGCAATGTCGGAGAGTCGATTGGAAATCACCATTGCCATTGCCTGACTCGATCGTGCGTCAATCTTCTTTTTAGTCGGGACGATACCATTGACGTGATCGACCCGTGTGTGAGCGGTATACGTACGACCACAACGATCTTGTCAACCAAGAAACTGCCAAAAGCTTTCCGAGTCACTCGATTGTAGCCACTTGCCTTGCACTGTACGAGTGTCGAAGAGCGCATGCATCCGAACGCAGACGCTTTTCTATCGAGGATCCAGGTCCCTCGACGCAGCAGCAAAGGGCACAAGCACAACAGACCGCTCTCGTGGTACAACAACCAATGCTCGAACAAGCGGCAAACGTCGAGTGGACCAGATGACCTCTAACATGCGGTAAAGAGCTGTTCCAGCGAACACAAGCGCGTTGGACTCGACCGTGCAGACTTATCAGCAGCCTATAACAAGTTCTTGATCATTGCAGCAAGACGGCTATTGAGTAAGACCCGTTTATGTAAGTTGTTGATGGACACACGCAATGCGACACGTCAGCGCCTCATCAGAGCTTTTGAACGTGGACAGTCGATCACGTGTTGACCCCGTGCTGTTCCGTAGCTCAACCGTCCAGTAGCACTTTCGAGCCATTTCCACAAGGCAACGAAACATGTGCGACAAGGTCCAGTGGGACGACGAGCCAGTGCAAGCGCGTGGCGTGTCGCACGTACCACAATGGCGACACCAATAACTTTCGATCTGACGGTCGACTTGCGGTAGGTCCGATCGTCCGATCAATTGTCTTGTCGTCGTTGTTGTTGTTGTTAATTTGTGGGTCGTGTTTCGGATGTTTATTTTACGGCTCCAAGTTCGTTACTTCACGCGCGTTTACGGACTCAGTCCATCATAGCCCACGACGCGCTCGAGCGCTGTCTATTATTTCGCTGCTCGTTCGTTGCTCGACCTCACCCTCTTTTGTACCACGTGCTGATCGTATTACCGTTTCGTCTTTCCTGGACTGCACCGTGTTTTGTAACCACGACATCATCCCCTGCAACTGCCACCCCTCCACTCTATAAAGCTACGCTTCGACCCAAGCGCATTGCGTTCGTCCGTCAGGTCGCCCCTCCCAAAGCTCATCGATGAAAAGAACAAGCTAGCAGCTCCATCAGTGTTTCGCCCGCAAATCTCTTTTAGTGTGCGTCACCAGGTACCCAAGCCAAAATCCCCCCAAAAAACCTCCCAAACCTAATAAACCCATCCAACCTGTTTTCCCCCTCCTATGCCAAACACCAGCCAGTTGTCCACCAAAACGTCCGTACTTCCGTGTCCGCCCCGCCGCATCTGCCTCCACCTACATATATACATATGTACACACATATATATCCACTTACACAGGTCATCAACTCTCACACACACACACACGCGCCACCCCAAAGCGCTTCTGCCGTCAGCAGTCGGCACGAAAAAAACCGCTACCCGACCGCAGAATTGTTCTCTCTCTCGCTCTCTCTCTCTCTCTCTCTCTCTCTCGCTCTCTCTCGCTCTCGCTCTCTCTCTCTCTCTCGCTCTCGTTCTCTCTCTCTCTCTCTATGAGCGCACCCGACAGCAGCCGCACGTCCGACGAAAAGACCGGCGACGGCGTCTACGTGACCAAGAACCGGTCCGTCTTCTCCTTGTGGCTCCACGGCAAGTCCGTGCCCAGTCGCGCGCACCCGGCGGTCGTATTTCGCTCGGCCGACGTCATCCAAGAGGGCTACTTACTGAAACAGGGCCTGCGGCTCAAGCTCTGGACGCGGCGGTACTTTATTTTGCGCCTCGAAGAGCGCCACATGACGTTGGGCTACTACACGAGCAAAGACTCGCTCACGCTTTGCACGGAGACGCCCATTGGCCCGGGCCACGTGCTGGGACAGGTGAACACGAACAAGTACCCGCGTCGCCTTGAGCTGCGCTGCGGGACAAAGGTGATGGTGCTTGAGGCCGAAGACCAGCGCGCGTACGACGCGTGGCGCAACGCGCTGCAAGAGGCCATCCGCTGGAACCACGCGATGGTCCCGACAAAAGACGGCAGCTTTGTCACCTATGGAAAACAAGCGAGTGAAGACTTGAAGCAAGAGGAGCGCAGTCGCGCCGAAGCTGCCAAGAAACTGCGGGAGAAACAGCGGCTCGACGAAGCAGCGGCCGCGGCCAACGCTGCGAGCAAACCCAAGTATCTGCCGGCCACGCGGCCAGGGACGCAGTGTTTCATGACGTCCAATACGAAGTTTGAGATCCCTGTGAGCTTTGAGTACGTCAAGACCATTGGCTCGGGCGCCTATGGCGTCGTCATTTCCGCAACGGACTCAAAGACGGGGAAGACCGTAGCGGTCAAGAACATCCAGCGCGCGTTTGACGACTTGACCGATGCCAAACGCATTGTGCGGGAGATTAAGCTCATGCGGCACTTGAACCACAAGTGCGTGCTCGGCGTGGAAGACATTTTTGAGCCGGTGGCACTCGCCAAGTTTGAAGACGTGTACATTGTGTCGCAGTTGATGGCTACAGATCTGCACCGCGTGATTTACTCGCGACATGCACTGTCGGACGAGCACATTGCGTTCTTTATGTACCAGATGCTGTGTGCAATGAAGTACGTGCACTCGGCGAATGTGATTCACCGCGACTTGAAGCCGTCGAACGTGCTCGTGAATGCCAATTGTGAACTTAAGATTTGTGATTTTGGACTAGCAAGAGGTGTGTTTCCGGAAGAAGAGCTCGAGTTGACGGAATACGTTGTCACGCGCTGGTACCGTGCGCCCGAGATCATGTTGGGATGTATGAAGTACAAATGCGAAGTGGACGTCTGGTCCATGGGCTGCATCTTTGCTGAGATGATGTCGCGCAAGCCACTGTTTCCAGGACAGGACTACATTGACCAGCTGCATCTGATCATGAACGCACTGGGCGCACCGAACGACCAAGATTTATACTTCCTCTCGAATGCACGTGCTCGCAAGTTCATGAATGCAGAATATCAGAAGCGTGGACCGAACCCGACCAAGTCTCTCGCACAAATGTTTGCAGATGCACCGCCCGATGCACTAGATCTACTGCAGAAGATGCTGGTGATTGACCCGAACAAACGCATCACAGTGAACGACGCGCTCGCCCACCCGTACTTGGCTTCCATTCGCAATATCGAAGACGAGACGACGGCCACTTCGAGCTTTGACTTTGATTTCGAGAATGAAACGCTGACGAAGCCAGTGCTGCAGAAGCTCATTTGGGATGACATGAGGCATTTTCACCCGGAAGTGGGGGCAGACGCAAGTGCTGACAGTAATGGAGGAGATAGCAGTAGTTTGGCTGCGACTGAGACGTCTGTCACGCCCGTGACGCCTCCTACTGATGACCCCGCTGAACGGGACAATACGGAGTCTGTTGAGACTTCAGCTCGCGCGATAGACACTATTGTCCAGGCGCCAATGCCTGCCACGGGAGAGGTAAAGCAAGGAGACGACGATGCCGTTGCACGGAGCGTCGACGAAAAGCGGAGGTCTGCTGTTGGTCCAATAATCGTTAGGACAAGCATTGACGGTGGCAAGCCCATCGATGCTCAGACGCAGCAAGAGGCTGGCGAGCCGGCAAGAGAAGTCGCATGAGCATAAGTGAGTGTAAATAAGAACGCCGTCGAAGTTGCGTGCATACGTGCATCGCGACAATGGAGGGCAGATAAATATGGCTAAGGTTTCGCAGTCCGATCAATAGAACGCAACCTGACTTTGAACTCGTAGCCGTTGACTCGTTTACCGGTCCGTGTGGTAAAGCAGATCCCAAGTCCATTACAAGGCAGCCACATCAGCACGACTTGGTCGACCTGAGCAACGCAGAAAAGCCACGGTCATTCGCGTGTAGCCATGTTGGTGCTGGAGTACAGCCAACCTTGGAACGGTGACCTCGACAACAGGGACCACAAGTTGGCAGCATTTGCATGATGCGGCCAAGCGCATAAGTGAGGAGGAGAAAAAACGAGTTGCGTGCTGACTGCAGCTCGTGCAGCCGTACTGCTCTTGAGCTCGAAGCAGTTTCGTCACGAGCTCAGATCCAGTGCTGCACTTCCTGGCGTCGATGTAGTAGCATCTCAAGCACCAGCGCGTTCTCGACTTGCTGACAACGCAACTTGAGGCCCGACCTTTTCTTCATCTCACTCGGCAATAGGTGGCTTGTGAAGCTTTTCAATTCTGCGCAGGTAGCACACAACTCACGAGAACGTGTCGGTTGAGTCGACATCGTCACTATGACCGGCACGTTGTCGGATCCAGCGGCTTGCACGTATGAAGCACTGCGTGGGCAATGAACATGGGCTTCAGCGTCGGCTTGCTCGTTAGCTTTGTACAAGGGAAAGAACGCAGCGCCCGGTGAAAGGGAAGATATCCTCGTGTCGAACCGATAGAAGAATGACCTTGACGTCTCGGTAAACGACTTTGATGGGATTCAGGCACCAACACGTCTACCTCGACGTGTCCTGTGGTGGAAACTTGCACAGCGTTTACATATACCATCCAGCAATCGACGCTGAGACTTTGTAGCCTTGGACGCCAGAGACAGTGAGGGCAGCGCCGACGTTATCGACACAAAACCTCGACCACGACGACTTCATATCGGACAACACTTGCACTGCAGACAAGTGCAAAAGTCCGGTATCTCCTCTCGAAACATCGGACGACCGACTTTGCTGGAACATTCACATTCCCGGCAACTGACTCCACATCAACAATCACAACATGCAACGGCTATCGTTCCAACACCATTCTTGCAGCAAACAACATATCTATTGAAAACGGCGGCAAGAAAAGCAAAAGGCAGCTAGCAACCTTACCTAGTGCCCCGTTGCAGTTCGTCGAGCACCACGCGCTTAGATCACGGCACGGTACGTCACGTACCGCCCAGCCGTTTCGGACGGACGAATGATCTTGACCACCTGTCCACGAGTCATCCCATAGTAGCGAGCAATCGGGTCAGTCACCTGCATCCGGGGCAGCTGCGAGTCCCGAATCCGGTAGCGCTTGAGCAGCGCCGCCTTTTCGTCGCGCCCGAGCACGCGGTGCACCGGCACGAGCGTGTGTTCCGTAATGTCCACGAGCAGCTCAGTCTCTTTAAAGTGCTCGATCTTGTACCGTGGCGCCATCTCGTTGAGCGCTTGGCGGGCAAACGGTGTGATCCCTTCTTGCACGACGAGGATCGCTTTGGTCACGTTCTCGTCCTTCATGCGGTTGCAGTAATTGCGGATCGGCTTGACGCCCACTTTCGTGTCGTCGGGGAAAAAGACGAATAAATTATCACTCGGATCGTCAATTTTCTCGACAAGAATCGTCATCATCTCCCGAGTCGGGTTGTCACCAAACTGTCCGAAATAAAAAGGTACGTCAAAAACAAGAGAAGGCCAAAACAAAAAGTGGGTCAAAATAAAGAGTTTCAGTCAATATAAACGAAAGGTCAAAACGAAAGTGGGTCAAAAATGAACTAGACGTCAAAATGTGTGGCGACAAACGTTGCGGAGAAACAGACACACACACACACCGTTCATACGAGGCACTGACCTGTACTTGGAAAGCCTCGGGCGTCATGACCAGCTCGTTCTCGCTCACGATGTAGCCGCGGTTGTGCAGCATTTTGACGGTCGTCTTGCGCACGCGGTAGAGACGCGAGGCCTCGGGCGTCAGCTCCGACATGAGGAACGACCAGGAAGCAGTGGGCGCGAGCGGTGCGGGTCCAGTCAAAGACGTCGAGTGGGTTTGATTGGTTGAAATGAGCACAACGAGGTCGAAACGCGAAGATGAGTCGACAGGAAAAGGGGGTATTCACTTGAGTGACGACAGTCAGGTAGCTGCTATTTAATCAAGAAAGAAGCACACAAACTTCTTCGACGCGCATCGATCGATCGACGTTGTCTCTGGCAATGAGGTTTCCTTCCGGCTATCTATTGTGATGGCAAATGTGTGGTAGTTTGTATCGCATATTGCAAAGTGAAACGAAAACGCAGAAGGCTAATTGAATATTTCGCACGACTACTGTCCGCGTCATGACGCGTAGTTCTGTCGTGCACTTCGATGCGTACAACCTGATCACTAGGACGCTACTGCCAACCTGCAGTTGACATATCAAGCGTACATTCTTGAGCGACAGTGCTCATTGTAAATGTATGTGCTCGTTTGTTTGGCCAAGTGTTTATAGCTGGCTCGTGGCAATAGCATTTGTGGCACAGGAAGAGTCCTTGACATCGCGCACGATTGCGATAGCGCTTCATTTTACCAGCGTGAATCCTGAACATATACCCATCGGGTCCTTAGCAAATACTCATCGAGTCAACAAGCCTCGTAGATGAGAATTGGCTCAATACGGCACATGTCCTGATCTTGTTGAAGTCCCGAATAGTTGTTACCACTCGTGACTTCAGCAAGACCGTCTGTCCCTGTCAAGCTATTCGCATCAAGTAGACCCGTTGTTTGCCTATGCGACTTGTAAATGTCGGACACCAAATCCAGCTGCAGCTCATTTCGTGTTACGATACGAAAGCAACGTGAAGGTCGATGCGAAGAGGTACAACGAGTGTTGGGCTAGAGTTGGAGTGGTGGGTAGGCATGTGGGCGATGGTATTTCTTTATTGTTCTGTAGGTCCAGCCGGAAACGGGCGGTGATAGTCTGGCACGGTCAGCTTGGCAGCTTCATCAACAATGACAGAGCTAAGCGAGAACAAATGCCACATGGCATGGACCCTAGTAAACGTGACACGTTGTACAACACGAAAGAAGGATAAGGTCCATTGCGCTGTGTACAAGACGTTCTAGCACGTCATATGTAGACGTAAAATGCAACATGCTGACGAAGCTTCCTACGTCATTGAGTAAGCGTGCGATGTGAAGAGCCAAAGCAAAGCTCGAGATCGGGTTCTTACGACCCTTACGCGGAACGAAAACGTCTGCAGGCAGATGATTGTCGATCTCGCGGGCCTCAACAAGTGTCTTAGGATGGGCTATAGCAAATGTGGCGCACTTCGCGCTGCTGATCGAGCGATGACGACTTACACAGGAGACGTCACATCAGATTCTCAACTTTAGGCACTTTACGCTCTCGTCTCGGCAAACGGTCTTATCAGTCAGGAGAGCGTCCATTTGCGCACAACTGGAGATATGGATGTAGAGCTTGACACTGTTTTCTAGATGATGGCACTACTTTATTGCGAGCCTGAAGAGCGAATCCATTCGTGAGCTGGCGTGCGTTGCAAGCCAAAGTTCTCGGTAGTTACTTCACATCTATCGATCTATGAAGGACGCAACGCGCGTGTAGTGTTCAGACGCGGTAAAGGGCGAACAGTGCAATACGCAAAGGATCGACGCTTTGGGGCAGCTCTTACACCTTCCACACCTCCACCACCAGCAGCATCAACACCATCACCATCAGCAGTAGCCAGAACGGGGATAAGTATGTTACCCGTAGACATACCAGAGGTCGAATAGTGGTTGGGGACTAAACAACGTCGTCTGAACAAGCGCCGTACACAGTTCTCGCGCCAGACATATTTCCCTCTTTGACCACGACCTGCACAATTGCTCGTCGAGGGCAGGCAGCGGCACTCATAACTCACCTAATGGCAAACAACTGAGTAGCACTAATAAGGCAACACTGACATGCTCAGCGCTTTCTTCATCCGCAGTACTTGACTACACGCAACGTGCGCAGCTAATGGCCACGTTCGTTGCACGGTGGTAAAAGAAGCACCCCGACTTTTTCTTCGCTCCATCACTACGTTCATGTCGTCAGTTGCATCTTGTTGTACTCGTCGATGCATCCGCCGTCCACTTCCACCGTCGTCGATCTCGTGTCTCATCCTCTTCTTGCACACACCAACAGCTCCGACGAGTCGCACAACAACCACAACAATACTGTGCTTGTTGCATCGCACATGCAGACCCCATCCGACAGCCGCCAGCTCCGGCCCTTCAAAAGGTGAAGATGAACATTCAACGCTTGGTCCAGGTCGATAGACTGGATCGCTTACACCAAAGGGCGGGCTCAAGCGCTTACTCCTCGACCTTCGCTAGACGATCCTTCCCTTTTTCCATGCTCATCTACCGCAGCGGAACGACGCTTTCGTTGTTTGTGTCCGCTATTTGACATTCCCGACGTCCTTTACTCGTACACGTGTACCCACAGCCAGGGCGCAGTCACAGCGTCGCATTGCAAGATTGTCGACTCCAGCCTTGCACCATTTGCATTTCAATTGGATCATGTCATCGCTCGTTATAGCCATTTCGGTACACAAAGGCCTCTGCCCTTCGATCGCGAGCAAATGCAGGCAACGAATGTGGATCGCCGTTGGCGCACATGCGGTCGGCCGATCTTCGTCCAAGTAGGACCCGTCTCACTATACTGTTGACGGCCACCGCATTAGCCAATGTGCGGTTTGCCACGTCTATCGCAGATCACGGCTGACGATTGTCGATACAATCCAGTGCGTCGGCCTCACACGCGAGGAACAAGCGCCTCTCAAGACAACCTGCGGCCGTGCCGATTACTCACGTTCCCACTCGCTTCCGCATGGCACGAACCATCGTCTTTTTATTTAGCAATCAGCTTTCGATGTGGAGACGAACAATCGAAA